CTCCCTCCCCCGCGCCTCTCCTCCCTCACCCCCTCATTTGAGCCTCCCCCATTTCCCAAGCGGGAATCCGTGCGTGTGTGCGCGCGCGCGCCTGTCAAGCACTTTACCACCTGGAGGGATTTATACGAACCAACTTCACCCCCCCCCCCCGTCCCCTTCTGTCTCCTCCCTCAGATCTTGTTTTTTTTAAAAAAAATGGAGTCCTTTTCGGGGTGAGTTGACGACTCTGCGAGATGCCTTTTCTCGGAAGCACGATGACATTTTTAGAGAAATACAGCACACTCATTTAGTGCACTTCCCGGGTGCCGCGGGGCAGCCCTTTCTCTCTGTGAATCTCTTAAGACGGGTTTCCTACCACCCCTTTGATTGATTGATTGATTGATTGATTAATTGATTATGTGCCATCAAGTCATTCTCAACTCCTAGCAACCGCATAGATAGATTTTCTCCGTGACGATTTGTCCCTGACCTGGTCTTTCAGGTCTTCCAACACTGCACCCATTACCACTGTAACCGAGTCCATCCACCCTGCTGCTCTTCTTCTCTTTCCTTCCACCTTTCCCGCTGTTAGAGCCTTCTCCAGGGAGCCGGGTCTTCGCATCGTGTCCAAACTAGGGTAATGGGAGCCTAGTCATTTGTGCAGAACTCTGGGTTGATTCCTGCCACCCCTGCCTGTCCATAAATCCCTTGATAGAGTTTTTTCTTTTTCTTTCAGAAGTGGGGACACCATCGCTAACCCATTTGTACCAAATGTGCCTCTCTTTCCTTTTGGCAGCTTTGATTTTCTTCACCCCATTTGAACGTCTTCCTTTTGAGTAACCGGGTCTACTCATTTCTGCAACCTTGTTTTCATGAACTCGTACTCATTTGGCAGGCCTTCCCTCAGCCCCAAAATGAGAATCAATTTCTTTTGTGTTTTAGTAAGATGATCTATTTTTGCATCCATGAAACTGAAAAGCGCACATGGATCCATACACATATTCCAGTTCTACTAAAACTCTTCACCCAAATTCATTGATGTGCTTGGAGAACCGTGGGAGTTCTAGGAAAACATTAAATCCTTTATTTTCTTTTTTTTTTAAAGTTACTTATTACTGCTTTGTATTGATTGTTTTATATGGAAGGAAGCACTCTGGCAGCCTCAGAGATGCATTTGGTATTAGTGCACACATCAATATTTAGCATCATGTTGTTCTTGTAGTAAAACCACTGCTTTGAGGATGGAGGCATTATCCATGTTACCAAATCTGCATCCTGGTAACATGGGTAATTTAAGTAGCAGATTCCATATTGGCACCCATATAATGAAAGACCCTTCCTCCTCCTTCTATTTGATATGGGAGAGTAGTAGCTCTTTTCTGCACATGATGTATTTGGATGGCTAATACTCCTTTTGGCCAATAGATGATTTTCCTTAGGGTACTGGGTTACGCTGACAAATAGTAACAAACATTCTCTTCTTCTTTCCAGCTACTTTTATTTCCTGCATAACATTATTCACATTAGAGATGTGCAAAATTTGTTAATTGAGATACAAACCATTCTGAAGGACTCTGGAACATTCTGTTTCCTTCCAGATCATGTTGCTGGGATGTTGTGGGCGCTGATTGGCCTGTTTTGTTTGGACCATTATACCTGGAACACATTGGACTGCTTTCAGTTTGGAGGATTTACCTGTGGAAACTATTGAACCCACACAGATTACATGGTCAGAGGTGCATTGGCACATTCCAAAGGGAAACTAGTTTGGTCTAGGAATGGAGTTACAAAACTCTATGAGAGTTTATTAAAGACATGAAAAGTTTAATAATGCATTTTTCTATTATTTATGGTTAAGCATCTGGAGTCTAAGCAGATTCCTGTGCTTAAATGCAGCAGTTCTCACATTTTACAGGCCAGCTAAAACTGTCAAGAGCTGAAAAGTAAGTGCTAAGAAGTTGGCTTGAGTTAGATGGCACAAATCCTCAGGAATGACCTTTTATTCTGTACTCAGCATTATCTTCTAATCTTAATTGTCAATATGGTCAATTCTGAACATTTTTATCTAAGAAACATATTTCATTTCACTGACTGTAATGTTGTTTCAAATGACTAATGATTTATCTTTTTCATACTGTAATTTAACTGTATTAAATCTGTTGTTCAGATAATTTTATAATATTTTTCTTATATCTGAACCTTAATAATTTTCTGTTATTTACAAAGAACATATGGATTGAGCTACACTAACTAGTATGTTATATTTCATGGTAAACATAAGATTAGTCTCTAAATAATTCTTCTGTGGAAATGTAACCTCTTTAGGAAAAGTATGGCAAAGCCACCAAAGTATTCAGATGCATGACTGGACTCATTCTGTTCTATACCATTACTTAATGAATAAGGAACTGTTGATGGATTTACACATAACACTAAACCATAAATAATGATACAGAATCACTGATGGTTGAGTCCACACAGTATTCTTAGACAGAACCAAACAAATCACATTATAGTTTTGTGTGTTGTGTAGACTTAGACATTATGGCTTGGTGGAGAGATGTACCAGGACTTTAAAGAAAAGAGTCCAATGTTGGTGGGAACTTTGCATATCATACTAGTAATAACTCTCTGAATAGTCTAGGTATAAGATTTTCCGAAGTACCAGCTGTGAGATATAGAACCCAGGAAATGTTTCTAAGTGTTGAGTTGTACAAGATGGATATAGAGTTTGAGAAAAGAGGGAAATTTGGAGTAACAACATGTGTACAGTAGCAGGTGGACAGAAAAATGAATAAGCATGTTGGGAGGGAGGCTTCTGGTAAAAGTGGTATGTACATTAAGCAACTTATGCAGAAATCTCCCACCTAGAAATCTCCCTTGTCCCCCTGATCATATTGATTCATATACAGAACTGACCTTGGAAGGAAAACTTTTTTTTTCAAATATACATTCAGTTTTGATGCAGAGTGTTTAATATACATACATATACATATGTGCACGAGCAAAATATCAAATGAAAGCTAACAATCTCATTTTCATGTGCCTTTTATTGTACACATGTAGTCCAACGATCCAAATAATGTATTGGCATACTTTTTTTTTTTTTTATCTGCGCTCAGTCGTTACCGACTCTGCATTGACTGCTTGGACGAGTCCTTGCAGTTTTCA